TACATTTCTGCCAAAGTCCGGCATAGGCGTTGGCGTGAGACTTACAAATATTCACCGGCCGTTCAAGAAAGAAAAAAATGGTCCGAACAGATGTGACTATTTCTCAACAGCAAAAAGACTCGTAGTCCTAAATTCGACCGATAACAGCGCTGTAGGTCTGCATCGGCGCATGGAACTGCCACAGAATAAACATGCCACATCCACATATATTTTGTTTGACAGACTGGGCCAGTGTTTAATTTACGTTTGTTTCCGTTATTTGCTCAACCAACGACAGCGCAATGCTGTCCAGTCAATTACGTTCTTGATGAGGACAGGGTATGCAAAATGTGCCATTAAATTTGTAAAGAGGTGCTCAATACTGCTGGAAAGGCTCGCATCCCTACGCTGCGCCAGTGGCATAGCCAGGAATTACTTTCGGAGGAGGGGGGGGGGGGGGCCTTGTTTTTCCATCTCTGTGTGTTGTAGCAACGTAGTAGTCTATGTACTCTACAATTCACGGGTATGGACGCGGCCGTGCCCAACCCCCCGACCGGCTAAAACAATGCGGTGATTCTTCACTATTTAACAGAATGTTAAGTTGGGCTAGTTGGTTGTTCATGACTGGAAGGAAGTGCCAAAAGACGGGGACAAAAAAAGTAGGCAACGACGACATGTAGCGCACTTGCAACTGAAGGTTTTTATTGGAAAATACAAAGACTTAAATACTATGACAAACCACTTTATTTCCTGCCACCCCACACTCTCTTTAAAAATAGAATCTCCTTATCTAACAATGCCACAGAGGGCTCGCTGATGCACTTGTCAACGCCCCTTGTTTCGATAGTGAATGCTTCGTGAACTTCCCTTGTGGTTTTATCGCTGTGTCGTCCCAGGATGGCTGTGTTAGTAAACAATGGTGCGCATGGGCATCTAGCGCAATGTACTGCCAGATGCACAGGCGGCATCTGTTTGACAGCTGACGCATGTTCTCTAGCACGTTCATTGACGCAGAGACCAGTTTGTCCTACGTAGGAACGTCCACATGATAATGGAATGTCGTAAACGACACAGGATGAACGTTCCAAAAACTTATTTCTGTGTTTTTTTTGTGCATTCTTCTCTGTCCTGTGAGGGGTAATTAATTTGAATTAATTCCGTGAGGACAACCAAAACTTCACGGCCACTAGCAAACTTTTGTCTTTGTGCAAGCGAATTAATTACCCACACAGGGACAGAGAAGAATGCCCAAAAAAACACAGAAATAAGTTTTTGGAACGTTCATCCTGTGTCGTTTACGACATTCCATTATCATGTGGACGTTCCTACATAGGACAAACTGGTCTCTGTGTCAATGAACGTGCTAGAAAACATGCGTCAGCTGTCAAACAGACGCCGTCTGTGCATCTGGCAGTACATTGCGCTAGATGCCCATGCGCACCATTGTTTACTAACATAGCCATCCTGGGACGACACAGCGATAAAACCACAAGGGAAGTTCACGAAGCATTCACTATCGAAACAAGGGGCGTTGACAAGTGCGTCAGCGAGCCCTTTGTGGCATTGTTAGATAAGGAGATTCTATTTTTAGAGAGAGTGTGGGGTGGCAGGAAATAAAGCGGTTTGTCATAGTATTTAAGTCTTTGTATTTTCCAATAAACCTTCAGTTGCAAGTGTGCCACGTGTCGTCGTTACCTACTTCTTTTGTTCCCGTCTTTCGGCAGTTCCTTCCAGCCAGTCTTGAATATTTATCTCCCTTTACTTAAAAAAAAATTATATTCTTTTTTTTTGGGGGGGGGGGGGGGGGGGGGGGGGGTTTGAGAGAAAGGGTAAGCATTGCGGTCTAGACTGAAGAGTTCTCTTTGAACAAAAAATTAGCGCAAAGGATGAACACAGGAAGAAGGAGTAGAACTTACAACTGATGTTTTAAGGGCTTCTCTTTCTCCCATCGAACGGTCCTTAAAAAGCGACTGGAATGGCCCGGCTGCCAGGAAAACTACTTGCAGTCCACAACGTGATAAGCGATGCAAGGAGTAGCTCCGTGAAGCAATTCTGAGTCACGGCTGTCATTTTTTCCCTCCCTACGTACTCTCCAAGTAGAGCCTGCCAACTGTTTATGCTGAGATTCTTGGAAGCACCTGCAGAACTGTTGGGCTGACCGTGCAAGCGAGCCAACATGCCCCCTGCCTGCAGGTTGTCGTGGCTGTCTTTACCTCGTTTTATGCGAGAGAACTAGCTACGGCTGTTAACCTGGGGTTTTTAGTGTGCGGTGGCATCATCCCTTCCAGTGAACAGTTTATAGATAGAAGCTATCTTCTAGCTCTTTCCAAGTGCCAAGTTACCAAAAACATTGGCTAAAGATTTCCAATAAAGATACCTCCCCTTCCTCGGCCTATTCCTAGTTGATACAAAATGTTCACTCTACTTCGTTTCAGCTTAAAGGGGCCCCTGCAACAACATTTTGACTGGTTTTTATTTTGCACCAAACCTGAGCGTGCTGAACATAGTAACTTAGCGAAACTTCCCTTTTCTCAAAATTCGCTTTAAGTCATAGGCAAATGAAAATTACAAAAACAAGCAAAAAGTAGCTTCCTCCGTGACGTCCCTGGTCCTGGCTTGGGTGGCCAATGGTAGAAGCGACTGGCCAATCAGTGGCAGCTTACGTAGATGGTCGCTTCCCCTGCAGTTGCGTGCGTGCAACGGCTCATCGCTTGCATCGGCTCTCCACTGCGCTTGCCGCCATGAATTTACCCGGTCTGTGGGAGTTGAAGCTCTGTACCCTCGATAGAAGCGCGGAGCTGGGAGTAGTACCATAAGAGGACATTGCTCGTAAGCGTCCGGAGCGCGCTGGCGAAGCCTCTCGGGCCCGACTCGACGACACTCAAGTTCCAGGCGGGTCTCCAGTGGTGCAAAACCACAGGTGACAAATTTGCTTCTCACGAAATGTGCCGACAGCGTCGCGCATCATCTGCTAGGTACCGCAAGGGCGCCTGCGCTGGCCTGCACCGCCTCTTCTACCACTCGGTGGCGTGTATATCGACGGGTCTTTGCGCGTAGTTCCTTGTTTTCATTGTTTCTAAACTGCATGTTTCTTTTCTCATTAAAATAGCAAACAAACTACTTCCCAAATAATTAAAATGGTTCGCGAAACATAAATTTATCATTTCAACTAAAAAAAAAGTTTTTAGCAGTTTTGATTAGTTGTAAGGCGGGAGCTGACCGGGACTGACAACGTCACGAATGAGTGACATGCCGCACGTGTTCGAGACCACGGGGCATCTCCGTAAGAGGAGGTTTCCGCGTTAAAATATGACGCACTGATATTTATAGTGACTCTCTCCATACCTCTGGGCTGCTTGAACCATAAGAGATACGGAAACAGCAAAAAAAGGTTGCACATCGTTAAGACCGTAGACGACGGAAAGTATGGGGACAGGGCACGCGTCTCCAACTCAGCTAGCAACTTTTATTAAAACCATCGCTTATATACTTCTTCTCCCGCACCCACGTCAGGACACTTGCGCATGTCTCATAGGGTGCGGGAGAAGATGTATGTAAGCGATGGTTTCAATGAAAGTTGTTAGCCGAGTTTGAGACGCGTGTCCTGTCCCCATACTTTCCGTCATCTCCGGTCTTTACGATGTGCACCCTAAACCAGCTCGCCTATTTACTAGCTTTGTCAAAAAAAAAAGTCGTCGCTTTAAGGGGATACTGAACCAAAGAATTTAGTGTCCATAATAAGTGGCGCACATTCTTTCCACGAGCCAGCAGCCGCCGGTGTGCGCGAGCACACACACAACGAAAATGACGTCAAAGACCTCCATTCGCGCTTAACAGGACAGTGAAATGCATGGGCTTCGGGCCAAAGGAGAATAAAGACAGGCTTTTCATCTCTACAAGTGAAAGCTACGTACTTGTTAGGCCATTTAATCGCTTATTTTTTACACCAGACACTACGGTGTAGATGAAAAACTTGTCTTTATTCTCCTTTGGTCCGAAGCCCATACATTTCACTGTCATCTTAACCGCGAATGGAGGTCTTTGACGTCATTTCTGTTGCGTGTGCTCGCGCACACCGGCGGCTGCTGGCTCGTGGAAAGAACGTGTGCCACATATTATGGACACTAAATTCTTTGGTTCAGTATCCCTTTAAATAGGATTGCAGGGCACCTTTAAGTCCAGACGCAGCCGAAGCTATGAGCGCGAGCTCCGGGCTTTCAGCGTCCCTGCCAAGCACGCGCGCTCGTGCAGTGCAAGCACTGTTCAGGGCCATATGCTCGCGCTTGTAGCATCGGCTGCGCCTTGAGCTGAAGCATGGAGCAGTTGCTTCCAGCATACCCCCAAAATGTGGCTGCGACAGGTATCCCAACAATGATGAGGTAGCAAAGAGAGCCCGACGCCAAATCGGGTTTAGACGGCAGATGCTCAGTCAAACCTTCGGGATAGCGTTCCGACTGCCGCCTCCTCGGTCAAGGGCACGCGCAGCCCCGAGAACCCGACCCCGCCGCCAGCTGCGCAATTCTCCGCTATTTTTTTTTTTGGCAACTGTTGCACAACAACGCGGTCCCTGACTCATCGGCGAATGTAAAAGAGCTCCGATGAGAGCTCGATCTCTTGGCGCTTGACAGACCAGGGGCGACTGTCCTGGAAAGCCGAGATGACACCGATCAATCAATCTTCTGTTTGCCGACGGAGCATCAGCTGATTCAGAGAGCCGGGATCGGGGCAATGGCGCGTGGCAACGAGAGACGTTGCGGCGGCCGTCTCGGCTGAGCGTAAGAGATGCCGACCTCTGTGCAAGGATCAACATGTTCTTCTTTCTTCGGAGCGAATCTCTCCCGCTCATTGCCTCTGGGGCCTCTGCGGTCGAAATGAATAAGTCTTTTCCTAAGCCTAAGTTTGGAGAGAAAAGAGGACCGTAGCTTTTCTCGCGGTCGGAGCGTTCGGCGCGTACACACGGGTGACGAAGGACTTGGCCAGCGGCAGCTAGAAAGTGAACAAGCATGCTGTTTATTACTTACAGTCAACAGTTCGACGATGTTTCCAGTAACTACTGAGGTACGGTGTAGCTGAGGCGGCTGAGGTACAGACGAAACAAATCCAATTTCGAGTGGTATCCCCTAGATGGCGGCAGCGGCAGTGCCCGGACACTGCCATAGACCCAATGGAGTCGATTTCTAGGAAAACTGGGCGCTCAGCAGCGCTTCCGTGGTCGGAGGCGCTCATTACTGCAACGAATCGAAGCCTCATTGCTCTATTAGTAGATTGCGAAACTAAAATAAGCAGCTATAATTATGTCCATAAAATGAAGCGCTAACGTATTAATAATTACTTTTGACGCCTTCGAGCTAGGTGGAGCGGCTTCCTAGCCGTTTGCGAAGACAAAGCCGCTCAAAATCCAACATGGCGCAGCCCTTCCGCCGTGCCCTGCCGCTGCTCCCTACCGTGGTACCGCCGGTACCGCGGTAGGTTTTGTTTGGAAATTTGCGGTCCGCGCATGCCGTACCATGTGTTATGGCAAAGAATTGTAAGTTCTGCTTGCCTACCTTGTGTCCAGCAGTTGACAGTCCGTTACTTGTCGTCGGCGTCTTCCAGGGAATCGAAACAGATGCAGCATTTTTCGCACTCGTTGACGCATTTATTCAGTCTTTGCATGACAAGGAAAAACAATTTCAACTGTCACTTTATACAAGCGTTGCTATGCGGAAAAAAATTAATAATGAGCGCAGTATCTACGTTAGCAAGAGGTGCTACAGTGAAGATACAATGTGCGACACTGTTAGCTCGAACATGACATAGCTTTTTCACTTTGAAAGGCTATCGGCGCTAGTTCGCCAAGTGACTACTTATAGTTTCGTAAACCTCAGACGCAACTATGGCGCGAGAATATCGGTCTTCGCGATTGAAAAACACAATAGCCATGTCTCGCTAACATGGTCGATCGTTTCGGTCACGCCGCTATAAATGTCATTTTCGGGGACTGATGTGTGTCCCCATTGCAATTCTAACTCGTCACGTTAAATAAAGAAACCCGAAGTACGTACTATGGACAGCTAGCTTGGGAGCGAAATGGATAAATACATGTTTTTTTTATCTTTTTATTGTGGTCTCTGTAAAGACAAACGCAAAAAATGAGGGGGGGGGGGGGGGGGGGGGGAAATAGTGAGGCAAAAAAGAACGACGAGGGTAGAAAGTTGGGCGAGTTGGTGATTCATAATGATTAAAAAGCGCGACAGGACAACGGACACAGAAAGAGACACAGCACTGTGTCTGTGTCTCCTTCTGTGTCCGTTGTCCTGTCGCGCTTTTTAATCATCATAATCATTTTCAAAAAAGAATAGTAAAGCTCTTCAGCTACGGAATTTACCCAGAGCTGCACAATTGTCAGATATGACAATGGTGACTCAATGGTTACAATTTTCAGGGGTTTCCAGCCTGAATCACTTGCAGTTCTTTCCCTTTCCCAGTTGCAGATGACAAAAATAAACAACATTGTTTATTCTTTGTGATCTTGGCAGGGATCCAAGATTATGGATGACCAACATTATGGAGAATTGTTTTGGAAACTGGAGATGTCCATATTAAAGAGAAAATACTGTAACAGCAAACAGAAATGTCTGTTTCCGTGACATGAAAACACAATAATCATAATTTATGATATGTGTTGCATAGAAGCAAACCCAGTGTGAAGTAAATATGCAGCCTTGCCGGAGAATTGTATGCAAACAGCCCTATTGTTGAGGCAGGCACAAAGCCAGGGGGGAGGCCCGTAGGGCCTAGCCCCCCCCCCCCCCGAAATCTTCCATTTTGCTAGGACCTCCTCTCCCCCCTCCCCCCCATACAGCATTTTGTCATGAGCGGGCCCCCTCCCCCCCGAAACAAAATCCTGGCTACGTGCCTGCAGTGAGGTATGTCTAAGAAGATATTTAAATGGTTATAGGTTGTGGATTCTCAAATACCAACTTGAACGTATATTACGATAAAACATCAATTCTTCAACCTGTGTAATAAGACAATAATGCAAAATTTTAGTGGGTCAGATATTGCCCACCAAAACTTGATATCTTAAAGAGTGAAACTCTCCAAATACGTTGTTTGAATTCTAGCTGCCAAAGGTCCTGTAGTCACTGGTTCGAAGCAACAGATATTTCCCATGAAAAAAACTGTGAGTGCGCAGGCGAGCTAGTGGATGTTGATCATAATGTAGAAAACCTGAGACTGCGATAAAAGCAAGGAAACGGAGTCGAAGAAGAAAGACAGGGGAAAAGAATGTCTCAATGCTCTTTTCCCCTGTCTTTCTTCTTCGACTCCGTTTCCTTGCTTTTACCACAGTCTCGGGTTTTCTACATTAAGATATTTCCCCCCTTGCCCTCCCACCCTAAAAAGAAAACTGCCTAGAGGTTGTTGGCCACCAGCAGGCTAACAACGTGTCTAAATAAAGTGGATGCTCAGAGGCTTCTGTTAGTCTATGATCTTGCTCCATAAAAATTGTGCGAGGAGCAGCCTGCTGACGCAGTGGACAACATTGTCTCTCGAGGGTCTCAAGAAGCACAGCCAAAAGATTTCATGCCTAGTTGAAAGCTCGTGTCATTCTGACTGGTCCATGCAAATAGACAGTTAACACAATGAATTGTAATTCGGGCAAACTTATTTGTTGCTTACTTACAGGCTTGAACCAAAATCTTTGGAGACTTAATAATGTATAGACCTATCTCTCTGTAGACCACTTTGGTATTTCTCATTTCTCTTGGCCTTTTGATGAGCTTCCGATACCTGTCGCTTGCACCGTCAAGTTGAACCACGAGTTGAACCAGGTTTTCTTGGTGTGGCCACCAAGATCCTGTGATGCCCATGGGATGGACCAGCCACTTCATTGCTCTTAATCATTTTTGCTGTATGTGTGTTCTCTATCCTCTCAGGATCTGCACAGGACAATGTAAGAACACATTAGTTTGTCTCGTCACAACACATGAACTTGCAGAAGAGAAACAGGGCTATGAAATATTGCAGAGGGCTGCTCCTACTATCCTTTTGTTTTTGTTGTAATTCTGTTTGCCCCAGCCACTCTCGTTTTACATCACAGTTGATCGTAGATTAGACTGCATAAATCACTACGACAGAACCTAGCATGCTGATGGTTACATATTCAGGAAGCTTGATAGGTTGGCCAACAATCAAGTGCACTTTACAAAAAAGTTACCACGGACATACCTTTTGTCTATTGAGGTTCCCTGTCCCTGAGGCTTGTTGGAGTGATTTTCATGCCTTGAGAATCTGTATGAATACACAAAAAAAAAAAACAAAAAAAAAAACAATGCAAATGATGCTCTTTTCTGTGCAACAAACTAAAAAAAAAAAAAAACAACCTAACGCGAGTTTTAATTGTTTTGAGGGGACTGCGTTGGGAGGTGTAAAAAATTTCGAAAGAATTATACATGAAAGGACGGATAGCACATCTCGCGATCAAGCTCTGCTGTCTGCATTCCACCTTTCTATGTTTTACTATCTAGCTTTCTATTTATTTCTGAAAGAAATAAAACGTGGCAAAACTAGTCGCAGGGCTGTAAAAGAATCTACACGAGATACATTAATAAAAACGAACAGATATTATAAGATGTGAACTCCGAAATATTATAACTGGGAGAATTTACTCGACGGGGATCGACACTGCTGTGAGCGAGATCGACGAGAGGTAGAGGAGGTGATATTTCGCCAGCAGTCTACAGATCATAAAATATTTGCAGGACGGTCTTCATCCACAAAACCGTGCTAAGAACGCTCGCCGAAATGGGTACATCGCAATGAAATCACGGTGACATTTTGTAAATTTCAAAAATGAAACGATATATTCAATTACTTAAAAGAGCACAAAACCCTCAAATGGTGCAATTTGTGGCTGGAAGATCAGCTTAGGAAAAGTTTCAATTGGGGTGAAAACTTTCGAACTCACCGTCGTCAGTTGGGATCCGAACGAACGGGTGCTTCTTGTCCCCGACGCTGCTTGGGCACGACTTTGCGCAACCGCACAAATGAGGTGGTTCAAAGACACGAAAAGCTTTCCACTTGCCCGAAAGTGCGAGGCTCGCGCAATGCGATGATCGGGGCGCCGAAGCTTGACGCTCCGAAGGCGAGCGAAAGAGCAAGCACCGCGCGACCGCGCCACCGAGCCAACCGAGCAGACCCACGGACGCCTCCACAACGGTCCACCGGTTTCAGAACGCAAAGAGCGCAAGCGCGCATGCGCACAGGCAGCGGTTTCGTTTTAGAAACGCAAAAACCAGAAAAAAGCAAAATTTCGAGAGTGTGATGTTGAATTGAACTTTTAAAAAAATATATTATATTTTTAGGAATACGTAATTTGTATTTAGTGAATTAATATGCAGTAATAACTAAAGTTGAATGCGGTTTAATTCATTATTGTTTTGTTTAGTTTTTAGTAATGAGCGCCTCCGACCACGCGAGCGCTGCTGTACACCTCTATGGTGGCGCCATCCGTGTTCGAGCCGCGCAACTCGCTCTGTGTCCGGAGGTTGGCAGCGGTACCTAAAGTGCCTAGATTTTAGAGTGTGACCAGCTGCTTGATTGGGGTGGTTAAGGGGTATTCACACGAGGGAGAAATCCCGGGGATTTCTCCCCGGCACGCGCATCCAACGACGAAAACGTCAGGCTTTGCGATGTGCAAAAGCCTCGCGTTTTCATCTCGTGATGCGCGCGTGCCGGGGAGAAATCCCGGGGATTTCTCCCTCGTGTGAATACCCCTTTAGGGGGTGTGTGTTGTGACAAAATCGTTCATCGTCCGCAAGCGACCTTTTTATCTAACCGCTTTCCTGCTCGGATCTCAACAAAGCAACGCATGCGCACTTGCGACGTTTGTCATTAAAGGGGCAGTGCAACGATTTTCAGACTTTGGCAAGTTAAGTGCGGAAGTTAATCTGCGTCACCTATGGAACGAAAAACCGAAAGCCGCATTTTCTTGCGAGCGCTAGTTCTTATTTAAAAGAAATGAAACAAATCGAAGGTCGAAGTGCCTCTCAACTCTCCACGCCGATTTTCGAGTGACGCCTCTGGGGGTTCACGTGGTCTCCCCTTGGGCCCTCTCTTGAGACCCCAGCCGCTTCCTCCGCGATTGTGGACTTTCAAAGGATTAGCCTCGTCGAAGGTCGCGGCGAGCGATGGACACAAAGGACGGCTGACAGCGAGTGTAGCAGCGGAGGGGGACACGGTTTGTTGACTTCCGCGTATCCCCCAGAGACGCCGTCATTTTAGTTCCCGTAGCTGACACCGGCGGCTGCAGATCGGCAAATAATTCGTTTTTTGCCTTGCGATTACGCAGCAGAATAGCCGTTTTTTTTGGGAAAGGTGACGCGTTTTTGGTCACTTGGGCTCGTATGAACAATATAAAAAATGCAAACTGGCAATTCTTTCAACATTAAAACCGTTGCACTGCCCCTTTAAATACCAAACGCTCGCTATTATTTAAACGTGAAAAACAGCGCAATAATTTGACAAAGGACGGGTGAAAGAAGTGCACGGACAAAGCGCTTCTTTCACTCGTCCTTTGTCAACGTTTGCAGATGTTCAACCAACTAGCCCAACTTACCGCCTTGTTGCTCTCTATTGTTGGAGTCGCTCGCTCTTTTAAATCTAGGCTCTCTAGCGGCACTTGGTGTCATTGTTGCTTGTGTCACTTATCCGCTATGATACAAACAAACGCTTCAGAAACTACTAGTATGACTTGTACTATTCGAGCCTGTTGGTGGATTTTCAACAATTATAAAGAGTAGATACATAGGGGACGACACAGACGGTACAATCTTTCAAACCTTAATTTCATCAATTTTAGGATTTCGACAGCGACGGAGCGCCAACGGTATCACCACATGGCCGCTCTTGAAGTTGTGTGTGGAGCTATGTTGAGTTGATTGAGCGCCTTTACTCAAACCAGCCGAAACCGCGATGAAAATCCCGGAGCGCGTGGAAAATGGCCTGGACATGGACCCGGACGGGCAGGTGGCCGTCGAGGGGGCTGTTCGGACGGTGGCCTTCTGTCCCTGCAAGTGGAACTCGTCCCTGCTCGCCGTGGGCTCCAGCGACCGAGTGACCGTCTTCAGCCTCAAGTTCCCGGCAAGTGTCTAAGGAGACCTCCGCCGAACTCCCTGCCCGACGGTCGAGTCCGTGCTTGACTCCCTTTGGCGCACCTCTAGCTAAACACCTCACTCAATCGACTAGTAATAATAATAATTTTATTTGCACATTAAATGGGTACATGTAGTGGTGTGCGCGGGGCTAGATAGAAAGGTAAAAATGGGCGAAATCGACGCTGCCGCTACGCCGATTCTCAAATATGGGTGGAAAGTTGGGCCATTTGGTAGTGATTCATGGTGAAGATTAAAGCGCACAAGAAACGAGAACAACGGAAGAAACACACACAACAGACGATTCTCGAAGCTTAGATTTTCGCGCAGCGGTTATTAATACCTAAGCGTGGTGAATGCAGCCTCTCAGCACTCGTCTGCGGAGTGGACATGCCCGAAACCCAGGGTTGCCAGGTAGTTTTTAGCTCAAACCGCCAAAAGCCAGACGGTGTAGAGAGATTTATGTAGCCCAAAAGTAGCCATATTCCTCGGAGCCCAAAAAATTGTGCGCTCGAATGTGTGAGCTCAATTCGAAGTCACTGCGTCTGCATATCTAGGGTTTAGGAGCAGCTTGCAAGATCTACGACATCTTGAAATGTTTTATTTCAAACACAAAGGTACAAATATTTTCCACACGCGTTTTTGCAGTCACATAGTTATGAAGCACTCGCTCGTGCCTGGCTTACTCGCCTCATACATGATTTCCATGTTAAAACAAGCAAAAGCTTCTTCAGTAGGGTTGATGTCCTTACAGAACTCGTTCTTCTCAAGGAAAGCAAACTTTACATGGAGGAAGTTTTGAAGAGCTGGAAGGGACATGTTCCTCAGGCCTGACTTTGTGAGGGACACATGACTGAATACTCTCTCTACGGCAGCATTTGACATGGGCAGTGTCGGAAGCGCGATAGCAAGCTCTGACAGCAACGGAAACAGAGCTGCTCCTACGCACTGATCTTGGCCTTGTTCGGAATATTCATTGTCCCAAATCTGTTGTCTTTTGTTATGGCTCATTGTGCTTTAAGAAACTTCAAAGTTTCGCGGAAAAGTCTCCTTTGTTATATCCGGTACAGCACGTGTTATCGGGCGACATCAAAGTCTGCAGGATGTCTTGAGTTGCCTTTAGTATAATTTTTCCTCGGATGAGGTGCTTCCTGTAGGAGGATGGTAGGAAACTCGAGGAAATATGAGACGCCAGTAGGAAGCAGAAAGAACTTGGGAGCATAAAATAAGCCACAATTAATACAAAAGTGATGTCATCGGAGCTTAATATAGGTCACGGTAGCTCACTTGAGCTAATAGGTTCTGGCATCACGCCCACGAATCTTCACGCAGAAAATCCCTGAAAGCGGGAATCCAGAAAGGGTGGACTACCGCTTTGTATCCATGCTGAAGTGTCTTTTGTACATCTGCTCTGAACCAAGCAAAAAAGAAAAAAAGAAGTGTCACGTTAAGATATGAGATAGCCTAAAAATGGGCCACATAGCCAACCGCCAAATTTTGACGCCAAATGCATGACAAAGTAGCCAAATTTGGCTATTAATAGCCCAACCTGGCAACCGCGCTGAAACCCCTCTTCTCCCTGGTACAAGCAGATCAGTTTACTTAGCGTGTGCATGAATGACATGCACGTGCAATATGTGTAAAACGACAGAGCCATTTCGTTGTGCTTATTTATTCACCGCGAACGTGCGTTTAATCTTGCGGCGAATAGTCGGCGGTTTTGTATAAACGGCGTCGTCTATCCTTTATCCTTTGGGGCCTTACGTTGTCACGCATGTTGTGTGCCATGCACGATGACACCATGCGCTTACTGCACAGTGTCATGTTCGGAGGACTGCGTTTCAAGAACAGTGCGGCAGGGCAAGGAATGAAACTGCAGCCCAAGTGCGTCCACGGGTCTTCAAAACCGGCGGCAGGAGCTTCTGAGGGCACCCAAAGTGCACACCCGCACACTGCCCGCCATCTTTCGGCACTTGCAGGAAGTGTTTCCTAGCCTGTTGCGGTGGTGCAAACTTTGGTTAGTCCAAACCAGTCCAAGGTCCGTGCATGTACAATCGGCAGCAAAATTTTGCGGGGCACAGGGGCGCCAGTCAAAATGACTGGTTGCGCCTTCTGACGGCATGCATCCGCTCTCAAGACTCACTCTTCAAAAATGTGCTTCCTTTTGTGCTCGTAGTGGTGTCTTTTTTTTACTTGCTCGCGTCCAACGCACACGAGGTAACTGGGACCGGCGCAAGGCAACCGCTTTGTCAACCGTCATGCCACGCGTCTGCCTCAGCCACCATAATGGGAGACTGAGCTCGCATGACAGACAACATTTCGCGGCACCTTGCGCCACTCCCTGTTATCTCGTGGGCGTCGGACGGAAGCAACGAAAGCGAGCGAAAAACACATTACTACGAACACGAAAGGAAGCACATGTGCAAAACATCTGTCTTCAGACTGGCAACGCACTGTCGGAAGGTGCAGCCAGTCTTTTCAGCTGGTGCTGCCGTGCCCCGCAAGTCTTTGCTGCCGACTGTACGAGGGCATCAATGCTAACGCATAATACGAAGGGTGCCAGCTGGCCCGCCACAACATGTACAAAAGCTACAAACAAACCCACACATACATGGCACACGGAAGGGGCCACTGGAAGCTTCGTATCAGCCATCTTGGAGGTACTGGAAGTTGACCTTTTGGAGTGTTGCAGAAGCTGGGCAGCTGCATGCTGAAAGACATGTTTTCTGCTCGTTTGTCGTCATTCGCCGAAGAAGTTTTTTTTTTAACCTATAAACAGTCATAGCTGCCTTTGAGAGCATTTAGAAATTCTTACGAAACTGCAGCAGTGCAGGAAAGGACACAACTCATCGAACACATTTCATGGGGTCATTGAAGAACATGCCTTGTCACACTTAAAACCAATCAACTATAGATGCCGTGTGGATAATTTTGAAGGTGTGTCAAGCATCAAGGTGTATGTGCCTCTGGAGCGGCGTTTTACTTTAACTCTGATGACTATTTGTAACTTGCGGCACTCATGGGCCAGGAACGAGTTTGATTCCATGCTCACGAAATGGGAGGACAGTGCAGCGGCGATCATTCTTTGCGTTTGAGACGCTTCTAGCAATCAATTGAGTAGAAGGGAACAGACTTGTATCTTTCTCAGTCCCCCATCTCCCAAACACTTCCAACGCCCCTGGTTTCATTGTTCAAAAGCGGCAATGTGGTTTGTAACCCACACTTTTCTGCATTGCTCTGTGTTTCAATGTGAGGTGAGTAATTCAGATTCATTGGAGTAGATTCTGACTTGGTTATATAATAGTGCATAGTAGCAAGCACTGATCAGTGCAGCTTACCGGCATAGTGAAGACTGTTGCATCTTTTGCTGCTTGAGAAGTGCATTGCACTGCTCTTGGATGTCCTTAAGCAAAGGTATTGGGCCATGGTCTCTATCTTTTCCATGTAGTGATGCCTGTCAGATTGGGGCTACAATTCATGTGTCGTCTGCGTACTGCACCAGGAGCGACTTGTCGTTCCGAGGCATGTTCACGTAGAGGAGAAACAATGTCGGGCCAAGGACTGAACCTTGTGGCACTCGAGACGAGATGGCCGTTTCCACAGACCTTGCCCAGTTGTACACAACTTGTTGGCTGCAGTTTTGAGGAAAGCCTGAGATCCAAGCAAATGAGCAGCCTCATATGCCTGCATGGCCCCTGTACCTGCGTTGCAGGGCTAACAATGAGCCTGATGTAAACATATGCTTTTTTGCTGCTCGCTAATTTCGACCAAACATAATTATTTGAACAGAAAGGACTGCATAGTAAATGAACCCGCATTACTCGTTTCAAAATAAAAAATGAAATCGGTGATTTAGAAAGAAAGGGTTAGGGATTATCTGCCATTTCATTGATGAGTAATGCTATATGCACGATGCCAAATATTTTGTATCTCGCCTTGTTTATGAGGCTCGAAAAAAACACGCCTCAGTGAATCATGCGCTAGCGGTTAGCTACCTTTAGATTTGATTGCGCACTTAGTAAACAAAATACTGTATATAAATTGTGCACTACAGAGATTGTGTCAAAGCTGTGGCGTAGCTCTGTGGTAGGGCGCCTGCTTCACATGCAGCGAACCCAGGATCAAATCTTAAGAGCAAAAAGCATGTATTTTTTTTTGGTCTGGCATTTAGCTATATTGACAACATATTTTTCTTTTTTTACTGCTATCGCTACATTGTCAACAAGATGATGGGGAGACATAAACCGCCACTAAATGAATAGCAGGAGGCACTCTGCATCGTGCGTATAGCCATACCCAGTCGAGATACACAACGTCGTGCATATTGCATCACTCGTCATTGATATGGGTCGACTATTTATCGCAAACTACATTCCTTAGAAAGTAAAAGCATTGTTCAACTTCATGTACAAAATAGGTCCTTCCCAATGCTGTTTCTTCGTAGTACCAATTTAGTAGCCCTCCCGATGAGATAAGGCACCCCCTTTTCAGTGCGCTGCTGGGCCGCCGGAAGGGACAAGCCAAGCACAACTTAAAGGGGCCGTGCAATGACTTTTTGACTGGTTTTTAATTTGCACTGAACCTGAGCGTACTGAATGTAGTAACTTAATCCAACTTTTCTTTTCTCAAATTTCGCTTTATTTTAAAAGTTATAGGCAAATTAGAATTACAAAAACAAGCAAAAAATAACCTCCTTCATGACGTCGTAGGTCCTGCCTTGAGTAGCCTTGAACTAGAGGAGGAGTAGTGAGCTCATCGAGCGCACACGGCTGCCGCACGCCGTGTCGACGGCTCGAGAGGGCGCCACTAAAGCACGTGTTGGATAGGCTGTATGAAGTGGACGGCCAGGGCAGCTCCTATTGCATTTGCAGCGTGACTAAACACTAATTCGGCATAACATTTCATTGGCCGCAAACGACAGCAAACACGGGGTAAAGATCAGTTCAGAACGGTTGCCACTTTGCGCTGACGCATTGCCAAATGGCCGAA